TTTTTTTATTGATTTGCTTTGTTTTGTTTTTTTGAATGTCCAGAGGACCAGATTTAACTTTTTTAAATCGTCCATCGTTAAACAGGGGTGGAGGCCACCGGGTTCAACTGTCCCCCTCTTACAATGCTGTGATTGCTAGTATCACTCAGCCCTCTGTGAACAGTAAACGCCATCAGTGTGCTAATGATCCATTGTTAGGCTGATGGTCCTTCTTGAGCATGTGATCTGCTGGTTTTGGTTGTCAGCAGCAAAACTGGTTGATCCACTCTGAGACGGTGCTATTTAAGAGACTGAGCTGAATACAGCTCCTCAGACTGAGGAAGTCTCTCGGATGAGAGACGAAACGTTTCTACATTTGTTTGTTGATTTGCTTTGTTTTGTTTTTTTTTGAATGTCCAGAGGACCAGATTTAACTTTTTTAGAAGTGGCTCTCAATCCTCCTGCTCAATTCAGAGAAGCGTCCTCGTCGCTCCGACATCACTTCAAACACTCTGACTGCACGACAAAGAGCCTTATGAGCTGAGATCATCAGTTCATGCAGTTCAGATCATTCTTACAGGGATTCACTCATCAGATTGTTCACAAAAGCACATGAACGTATGCATAGTGCAAAGCTTTAATTATATTTCTGTGTTTTTCATAAAATTGCCCATGCCTCTGAACTTTTAGGGGCGGAGATTGTTTTAACAGCAGAAGTAGAAGGGACAGCTCTGATGTGATATTAGGAAGCTTGTTATGTTTTAAAATATTTGTTTATGTAATTATTTTCAGATTACATATCCATTATAGGTTTTATTTGTTCAAGGCAGTCATATTTGTAGCGGGAAGGGTTGTTTAATAGTTAAAATTTGTTACAAATTTTATTTTGAAGGGACACCACTCTCAGCTCTGAGAGAACGTCTGAAGGTCTTAAAATCAATTCAGATTATTATTTAATTACCTCGAATTACCCTTTTACACCATGAGTTCTTTTATATGAAGGATTCAGATGTCATAAGTAAAACACACACGCTTTAATACAATTTTGTGATGTTTATTTAACTATGTATGATAAAAACAACTGTTGGCAATTATTTCTGACATTTAAAATGAAGGCTTTGTTCACAACTGGAGTTAAATGAAATTAAGTGACCATAAAAATTACTTGTTCGCAGGGATTAACAGATCAATGAAATTATTCTATGTGCTTTACCAAACCAATACAAGATGCAATGTAGAACAATTTTGAAATTTCAGCAGGACAGATTACTCATGCAAATTTAACTAAAAGAAATACGTTTTATCGTTCAATAGTTAAAATTTGGTCTGAACTTTAAGGAAAAATAATTACTGAACTGAGTTAATACTAATTTGTTTAAAATCTAAATTCTTGAACACCAGAGTCAACCGTCAGAGTACAGGTCAGCTGTTCCTAGCAGGAGTCGTCTTCGAAGGCTGCCAAAAGATACCAGATATTTGACTCTCTATGATCCGATGGTCTTGTGATGTAAAGGTTGTAATTCCTTCACATCCCTAACCTCAAGACGATGAGTTTGGTCACTGGCTCGAATGGTCAGCCGGAGTGTTTCCTGGAGTTCTGGACAACTGTTGTTAACTCTTTGATGAAAACTGCAGGTGTTTGGATCACTGAAGAGGATTCTATCAAACTTTGCCCAAAGTTGAAGCTAATTTTCTCCTTGGAAGTCTTCTGTAGGTCGTATCTTAAAGCTTATCCTCCTCTGGAGGTCTTCATCACTTCTTCATCATTGCTCTTCACTCTCTCTCTCGTTTTTTTCTCTCCCAATATTCTGAGAGGTCTTCCTTTCTTGTAAACAACTGACCACACCTCTGCTTTGAAAGAGGTGGTCGATTTGAACCAATCAAAATGGAAGGGCTGAACTTTTATCCACTAAAAAAGTATTATTTTAATCTGTTCTGTTGAAAAAGTCATCAAATAAAATCATTTAAGACACTTGTAAATTTTAAATGAGGTTATAAACAATACAAACACTTTGTCAATCTTATAAACAGATAACAAGTTTGTAAACTTTTGGGCTACACAGGTTATTGTCAGCTGTAAGGGAAACAACAAGGCAGTTATTTAGTTGTTCCCAGTAAACAATTCTTTCATTACAGAAAAAACAGTATTAATTCTTCTAGAATGTGAATAAAAGTCTGTCCGTTTTCTACATGCAGGAAGAGGATCCAAGTGTCAAAGCTGGAATTCCTTTGAACAGAGAAGAGGCTTTCTGTTATTTTCGATCATTACTTGGATAGACTTGGTCGGAGGTTGGTACAAGTTGATACCAGGACATCCTGGGTGATCTGTGTTCACTCAAACGTCCATTTGTGGGGTTCACAGAAAGGGTGTTCCAATATTATTCAGATTTATTGCATCTTTGGTTGCCTTACCAACCAAAAGTCTTTTTTTTTACACTTTCCAGAGTTAGAGATGCTGAAAACAAACTTTAAACTGTCCCAGGTTCTGAAGTGGAGGTGGGGGTGGATTGTCTCAATTGTTCAAGGGATGAGGAGTTTCTTTTTTTCTTTTTCAGAAACATCTCTACAGAATGAACTACTCAGTTACAGAAATAAAGTATGTTATAAAATGACATTCAGGGACGCAGGTATATCTCTACATATTTGTTCATAATTTTATTATTAGTAAGCCAGAAAGGTATCAGATCCAAGAAACGCACCCTGTCAAAATAAGAGCGTTCCTGGATCCTGTTCCAGCAGGATCCGGCTCAAATTAAGTCCTGATGCAACGTGTTACAATATTGCCTGAACTTGTACATAATGTTATTTTCATACTTTAACCAAACCAGCTAACCTGTGTTGTTCTCATCCACAAGGTAATTTTAGTTTAAAACTCTGACACGAAGAGCTGTGGGTGATGTGTTTATTAAATAAATTATTGGTTTTAATTTAATTATTTGTTTGTTTGTTCTTTTTATCTTAATATGTTGCACGCATAATAATTTTGAATTTTTCGTCGAGTGTCATGCAGCTCCTACAATAAAATGTTAGCTAACCATCACTCCCCTTCCATTTTCCATGATCCAAACACCTGTCGCTGTGTGATAACAGAGAGGATATTCTTTGTTTGTTCCTGGACCAGAAGGATCTTAGAGAGAGGAGGCCTCAACCGTGCGAGGCCTCGGAGGAGGAACAAGACCGGGACATGGTGATCTGTGTTAGGGAAACCCAACTGGGCATAGAGCGCAAGTGCTCCAGCATGACGGTCAGCTCCACGTCCAGCCTGGAGGCCGAGGTGGACTTCACTGTGATCACAGACCTCCACCTGGGCATGGAGGACTTTTCCAAGTCTATGTTAGAGTTGGGAGAGCGGAAGCAGCAGCCAGAGGTGGGGCGGGAGGACTTCAAAGAGACTTCCAGATTCTACTCCGCCCGTCTAATGGGCTCCAGGGACAAGGTTCCCATGGAGGAGAAGTTTCCTGAGGAAGGAACGCACCCTGAGGTATACAGATGCTCGTGCTCATCCTTCATCATCACCATTTTTTGGATTCACCCCACCTTGCTGCAAATGCTGTATTTGTGTGTGCAAACTATTGTTTTTGCATTTTTATCAATCAAACTTTTATTTTATACTTTCTTGCTGTTCCACCATCGTTTGCTGTAAAACCAGTCTACATATCCTAATAAAATCATTTTGTCTTGTTATCCTTTGTTTCATTAAGCATTTAGCTTCCGCACTCTAAACATCAAGAGGACACAACCAGCTGATGTTCACTTTTAATGTATGTTTCTATTGTTTTACAGCCTCCAGTGGCAAAGAAAGACCCCAGTGCTGTGAGTGTGGCCCACAAACTGAAAAGGGCCGACACAAGGACAGAAACAAACACCAACGGATCAGAGGTGGACCCCGACATCCTGCACATCTCACCGCAGGTACACAAAAACAAAAAACGTAGGATGGAGGAGAAAACTGCCCTGAGCTGCCAAGGAATATAAATCCATGCTGCTGTTGCAGCTACTATTTCCTTTTAATGTTGCCCACTGTTGAAAGATGGAAAGTGGGTGATAATGTTTTTGTGTCCGCAAAATATCTCTTGAACTATTAATCTTGCAGAATGTGATCAACCTGATTCAAGATGATCACCACAGCTAACAGACCTTAAAATAAACTTTGTCAGTTTTACATGATTAAAATGATTTACATGCTTGCAGGGGGCAGCTGTGGCTGAGTGGTTAAAGCAGTCATCCTCCATTGCAAGAGTTGGGTGTTCAATTCCACCAGCAGTCGCATGTTGAAGTGCCCCTGGGCACAACATTGAACCCCTCATTGCCTCCGATGCGTGTCCCATCAGTGTATGAATGTGATAAAGCTCTGATTAGTCTTTGAACATAAATAGTAGAGTGCTGTATGAATGGGTAAGTGAGGAGAACTTTGAGTGTCTTGATCAGATAGAAAAGGGTTATATACGTACAGTCCATTTACCATTTTAAATTCTGTATATTGTGCTACATTTGGGTGTAGTTGTATCTGAGAGCCCTCCCCAGGACATGCTCCAAGTGCTTCTCACTGCACAGGATTGTTGCTCAGAACTTTAGCATTAACTGTTGGAGTCAAGCCAAAAATATCTTAGCAAAATAGTAAAATATTTTATGAATCACTGGACAGATGTTACTGCAACTATCAGCTGACAGCTATAACCAAGTCAGTTTTGTAGATTTTTTTCTTTCTTTCTTCTTTCGGCTGCCCCCTTCTTCAGGGGTCGTCACAGCGAACTAAGTCGCACGAAGACTTGGCAGTTATTTTTACGCCGGATGCCATTCCTGACACAACCACAGACACCGAGCTACCACAGCCCTCTGTGTGGAGCAGAGAGCTGCTATCTAGGACACCCGGAGGAGCAGATGGTGGGGGTTAAGGGCCTTGCTCATGGGCCCAGAGTGGTGCGAATGAGGATGGGGGCAGGTGTGGGTGCTTCACCTACCCCACCCACATTTTTGATGTTGTTGGTACCAGGGTTTTAACCGGCGATCTTCCGATCACAGGCCCACCTTCTCTAACCTCTGCACCACCACTCCCAGTTTTGTAGATATTGAGCTAAAATTAAGAGTGGTAATTGATGAAGGTCATTCCAAACACTTGTTCTGAGCACGACATCTCACCATACCATATGAGCTTGTGCATGATGTTATCATCAAGGTTTGACCAAAATGGCTCTAATTTTGAAATTTAATGTCATAAGACAATCTTAGGTTCAAACAATTACTAAAAGGCAACGGACATTCCTTAAAGAACTCAGGTATTTCATTTTTATTTATCATTTTAGATCACTCATGTAGGGACACATCAAGGTTTTTCTACCATCAACTTTATTTTTTTTTACACTTTGAAAGACTGACTGACTCTCATTCCCAAAGCTGAACAGTAAAAAAAAACGTTACAAAAAATGAATAACAAAAATCTGTTATTGTAATTAATTGCACACCTGCTATTATGATTTCAGCAAAGCTGAAAGGCCGTTTGTGTGAGAACCTTTCCATCTGACCTTTGAAATATAACATCTGCAGCATTATGTGTATCTCTTCCTAAAAGGGAGGATTCGTCCTGCAGTCTTAGCGTGTGGGAAATAACCCCTATTGTTCCTCAAGGACTCTTTTGCCATCCCACGGTAGAAATTATTTTTCTGAACAATTTAAATTTCTGAGTTCTCCTGAACACAATTGAATGTTTTGCTGTAAAACTGCTAAGAAATAACTTGTTTACTTCCTTTCTCAGTTCAGTACTCAGTTTAATCATGCATAAGAGAAAGTAGATGTAAAAACTGGTAATCAGAGGTTTCAACTGTTGTTTGTACAAGTTCTATTGAAAATGTTTATGGATGAGTAAAAACTGCTTAGAAGTTTTGATTATCCTGCTGATGCTGACGTTTAGTTTAGAGCAGTCTTGGGGAAGCTTTTGAAGAAGAAAGGTCAAGCAATTGGAAATTTATGCCAGAAGATAAGAAGTTCATGCAGAAAAGAGACAAGTGTTCCAGAGATTTGTCTCATGTTTCAAGGAAGCATCAAAAGGTTCCTTGTCACCAGAAGGAGAAAACGCAGCCCTCTGGGAGCGCATCAACTGACCCCATCGGGAGCCAGATAAATATCGACTCCAGATTTCAGCTGATGTCCAGTGTTGAGGGATATCCCACCTTCGACGCTTAACTCATCTCAAGAGAGTCCCTGGTAACCCTCGTGCAGTTGAACTAGAACTTCAAATCGGTAGGAAAAGCTGCTCCTTCTCTCTGCTAGTGTCTGATGCACAAGATAAGAAGTTGTCCAGTCTAAACAAAATTCATCATTATTAATTAGAATCAAGTTTTCCTAAATTGACAAATCACATCTAGCCAAAACACTTCATTTAGTTAACTTTATAGATGACAATTTACTCTGCTTTTGAACCTCATAATTCACCATATTAAAGTTTAGAAGATAATTCCATAACCTCTTCTTGTGTTGTCAAATTAAAGTCATTATTCATTCTTCAGCTGTACTCATCATTTTGACCACTTATGTTTACCAAAATCGATAATAATCTTCACAAAATTGTACTTTGACTCAAAGCGTTATTATATATGACATTTGAATTTAATATGAAAAGAACTCACTAGAGCACAAAAACTTGAGTCTGATTTAATAAGAACCAGAAAGTAAGTGGTGCCCCTTTCAGAATAAAATTACTAATAAAAATTCAACGATCTGAGGACCCTTTCCTCTACACTCATGACAATTGTTTAAAAAATAATTGACCCCGTAGCTTATTTATCATCAATTTTTAAAAGAATAGCACTTAATTGTGGAGTTTTTCTTGCTTCTGTCAAATGTCAAAGTTGTTGCTCTAGGTGTAGAACTCATGGTAAGTGTTGGGAGTATCTCACATGCCAGCATTTAACCCCAGTTTTGTAAAACTGGAAAATTATGGCCATGTTTGTATCTGTAAAGCAGACATGGGCAACTTAAAGCCCAAGAACAAAGAGTGGATGGACAATCTCAATCAGGCCCCCCAATGTCCTTTGTTAAAAAAAAAAAAAAAAACTAACTTTTTTTTAAATAGATTGATTTAAAAACAAAATGCAATTTATCAACAAAACATAAGGAAATTTAAACAACTTGTGCAAAACTTTTTGAAAAAACATTTTTTAAGTCGTGTTTCTAGAACGTGACTGAGCTACTTAGTTTAGTTGTAGTTTATTATTTTTTGAATATGTAAAAAAAAAAAAAAAAATTTGCATGAAGCATAATGTCAAAACTTTTTGTTTTACATATTCAAGGGAGTGGGTAGAAGTATAAATTTATCAAAATTCCTGCTCCTTAACCACTTACATAATCTTACGTTCATTACATGTATTATCCATACATAAAGTATAACAACTAAACCGATATTTATCCATCAATATAGTATCTATTTAAGTTAACTATAGTAAATGAACAATTATTATTCATTTAACTTCACAAAAAACAAAAGCATCAATAACAAATAACAAACAAAAAAAAACAACAACAACAATAATTGAGTAATATTATTAAATATTATATCCAGCAATAATCATATGTTTATATGATAATTTGAACAGTTATATGTTTGGACATTGTTTAAGTTCAATATTCAAATTATTCCACAGTTTGACTCCACTTACTGATACACAAAAGTTTTTTTCTAGTAGTTCTGATGTTGCATAAACTGTGATTCCCCCCTTAACGTATAAATTTGCTCCTTAATTTTAAACAGGTTTTGAATGTTTTCTGGTAATTGCTTATTTTTTGCTTTGTAAAGAATTGAGCTTTCTGTAGTTTCACTATGTCAATGAACTTTAATAATTTAGATTTTACAACTATTGTATTAGTGCTTTCTAAAAATCCAACCTTATGGATTACTCTTATTGCTCTTTTTTGTAGTATTGTTAATGCCTGTAGTGCGGTTTTGTAATTAACTTGTGGGGAGTGGTGGCGCAGAGGTTAGAGAGGTGGGCTTGTGATCCGAAGATCGCCGGTTCACGCCCCGGCCCCGACAACATCAAAAATTGTGGGTGGGGTAGGTGAAACACCCACACTTAACCCCCACCCTCATTCGCCCCACTCTGGGCCCATGAGCAAGGCCCTTAACCCCACCATGTGCTCCCTAAACAGGTCTCTCTTGAAAATGAGTTCTCGTGGCTCAATGAGACTAACCTGGATAAATAAAGGCTAAATGAAAAAAAAAAAAAAAAAAATTAATTCCCCAGATTTCTGCAAAATAACTTAAATAAGGTAAGATTAGTGAACAGTAGAGTACATGTAATGCTTTTTGTTCTATGACCGACTTGGCTTTGTTTAAGAGGGCGATATTTCTTGAGACTTTACTTTGAACGTATTTGCAGTGTGGTTTCCAGTTGAGTTTATTATCAATAATGACCCCAAGAAATTTGTTTTCATGAACTCTTTCAATTTTCACTCCATCTATTTGTATTTGAATTTCTGTATGTGATTGACAATTCCTAAATAACATTATTTTTGTTTTGTTTGGGTTCAAGGACAGCTTATTTTCATCAAACCACATTTTAAGTCTATTAAATTCATTAGTTACATTATTTAACAGTTGTTACATGTCATCTCCAACACAAAAAATATTTGTATCATCAGCAAATAGTATACTTTTCATTATTTCAAGTACAGCACATAGATCATTTACATAAATTATAAACAGTTTGGGACCCAGGACTGACCCCTGTGGAACCCAACAAACAATGTCCAAACATCCAGAACAAACATCTCCTAACTTCACATACTGCTGTCTGTCTTTCAAATAATTTTGAACCCAGTCTAGTGCTACTCCCCTTATCAGAGAGTCAGAGTCAGAGTCAGAGTTTCTTTATTGTCATTCGCACCTCATGTGGTACATGTGGTGGAGCGAAATTATG